GGGTCACCGATGGTAAGAACCTGCCGCATCCGAGTTCTAACCCGAACACGCTTCCCAGAGCGTGTTCCGCGCATTCGTCCACTTCTCCAGCGCTTCCGTTTCGAAGGATTCCAGGGGGGATCACGGCGATGCAGTTCCCCCGGTACCGACGCCAGAGGCGGCGGGAGTCTTCCACATTGCTCGTTAACGCTGGGAAACTTCAGCAGTGAGTCATGGATATTAAGCAGAGTCTGTCGCTCATACACCAACAAAGAGTGGGTTTTTAAAACTAGCAGAGACGCCACTAAGAACACAAAACATAAATATTGCAGAACCGAGCGCCATCTTCTCCTCTTTACACTTTAATTGAATGAAATGGGGCAGCCCGCTTGTGTGGTTGTGTGGTAGTGAGCACCAATGCCTCACAGCAAGTAGCTCTTTGATTTACATACAGGCTGGGGTTACATATAGTGGGTAAAATAAGTATTGAAGATGTCACCAATTTTCTAAGTAGATATATTTCTAAAGGTGTTACTGACATGACATTCTCATCAGATGTTGCTACAACCCATCAAATCCACACATGCAAAACCACAGATATATAAATGTATGTGTAATAACAACAAATGACACAGGGAAAAAGTGTTGAAAACATGAACAAAAGGGAGGTGCAAAAAGACCTGGAAAGACATTACCACAGCTGAAATCTATCAATATTTAGAAAGCAATCCTGACACTTAGTCCAGATTAATATTAGCTGGTTTAGTTTCAAATGATGGCCTATCAAAATGTGTCTTATTATGGTGTCACAGAAAAAACCCCGCACATAATGGGTAAACCCCATGAACTCATGCAAGACCTCCACAACATACTGATGGCATTGGTTACAGAAGAATTTAGGATATGTCTGTGAAATACTGGGATAATAATCTGGACATATGCCATAACACCCACCATGTCTGGAGGTCAAAAGGCAATGCCATATCACCACAAAAATACCATACCAATAGTGAAGTTTGGAGGTGGGAACATCATGGTTTGGGGCTGTATTCCAGCATATGGCACTGGCACACTTCAATTAACTGAAAGAAAGATCAATGAAAAAATGTAGAGACATTCTTGATAAAAATCCACTGTCATCCATCAGGATGATGAAGATGAAATGAGAGTTAGCATTTCAGAAAAACCCATGATCGCAAACACACAGCTAAGGAAACTCAACTGATTTCAGAGAAAGAAAACAGAGCTGCCCATATGACCAGCCAATCAACTGATCTTAATCAATCTGAAAATTGGATGGGTTGTTATCGACAAAAAGACTCTTCCTGTGGAGTTGTCTGCTTCCCCCAACTTCCTTACTACACCC